ACCCCTGCTGCTGCGGCTGCGGCCGCTGCTGCTGCTGCACCAGCAGCAGCAGCAGAACTGCTCCGCTCCCGCGAGGGCCTTTCCTTAGGGGTCCCCCCCGGAGGAGCATTGCCGTCATATTTGGCTTCCATTTCGATGCATTGGTTGCTGCTGCTGCTGCTGCTGCTGCTGCTGCTGCTGTTGTTGTTGTTGTTATTTCTTATACTGCTGCTGCTATTGCAGCAGCTGCTCCTGCTCTGCTGTTGTTGGACAACAGAGCAGGATCTTTGCTGCAGCACGAACTAGGAGACGATCCCGCGGGATCGATAGGGCCCCACACTCGCTGCAGCAAAAGAATGTGTCTCTTGGAGACGATCCCACAGGGTGCAGGAGACGATCCCACAGACGGGAGGAGACGATCCCCAGGGACGGGGGAGACGATCCCACAGTCCTTCTCTGCGGACTATCTGCGATACTATACGAAGTACAGAAGAGCACACCCATGCTCCTGCTGCTGCTGCTGCTGCGGCTGCTGCTGTTGCTGTTGCTTCTGCAGCGCCTGCTGCAGTTGCTGCTGCTGTTGCTGCTACGGCACAACCGGTGAGTTAGGGCGTGGGGTGACGGAGATATCTTAGCAAGAAGTCTAACGCAAAAGAAGGATTCCCTCGTTGTTGTTTACGGTCAATGTTTGCTGCTGCTGCTGCTGCTGCTGCAGCTGTTGCTGCTGCTGCTGCTGCTGCAACTGTTGGAAGGATGCGATCCTAACTGCCTCTGCAGTAACAAGCCCAGCGGTGTTTGTAGATCGACTGTCTGTACAGAACAAATATAAGGAAGTAAATGCTAAATATAGGGGTTTTTGCTGCTGCTGCTGCAGCAGCAGCAGCAAATGCTGCTGCTGCACTCGGGGTTGTGATCAGCAGTAGCAGGTACCCCTGCAACAGATCTTAAGACACACAAGCAGCAGCAGCAGCAATCCCTCATTAATATAGTAATAAGAAGGCATGCATATCCTCCCCACACATAAACTTGGCTTGGGGTACTGTGTTTGCTGCTGCTGCTGCTGCTGCTGCTGCTGCAGCTGCTGTTGTTGTTGCTGTTGGAGCGGCTGCAGCGGCTGCAGCGGCTGCTGCTGGTGCATGCCCCCGCAGCAGTAGAGGAGCGGTAAGACAAATGTAAGTAACTAATAATAGTATTATTTAATTAATTAAATAAAGAAAATATAAAAAGAAACAAACAAATACAGCAAAGACAGCGGCAGCAGCAACAGGGTGGTTTAGTGGTGTTGCTGCAGCAACCCCGCCAGCAGAGGTCTAGATACACCCAATGTTTATCTCTTTTTTCTTCTCTTTTTTCTTTTTTTTTTTATTGTTTATTCTTCTATTTTTATTTTTATATTGTATTTATGTTGTGGGGTAGAAGAAGCCCGGTGCTGCTGCTGCTGTTGCTGCTGTTCTTGTTGCTGGTGTTGCTGCTGATCGCCACCAGGGTGCTTGCGGGTCCTGTGGGCATTGCCCTGGCCATTTTTCTGCTGCTGTTGCTGTTGCTGCTGCTGTTGTTGTTGTTGTTGCTGCTGCTATTTATCATTTAGTATATATTGCATGCATTTATTTTGTATAAACGCATGCAGCAGCTGCTGCTTGCTAAGCAGTGGTGCAGCAGGCTGCGGTCGGTGGTTGTGGTTTGCTGGTGTTGTTGCTGCTGCTGCTGCGGGTTCTCCTGCTGCTGCTGCTGCTACTTCTCCTGCTGCTGCTTCTATTGCTGCTATTGTTGCATTTAATATGTGGGGTTTAGGGTTGTGGGCTGGAGAGTTGAGCCACTTTGCCAGCAGCAGCAGCAGCAGCAGCAGTCTGCTGCAGAGTGCATGCACTGCAAATCACTGGAGTTTTAGTAACAGTCCCGTGCTTTAGTGCAAACGCTGCTGCTGCTGCTTCTGCTGCTGCTACTAGCAGCAGCAGTAGCAGTGTGCTGCAGTGCATCCGCTGCTGCTCTTTATAACCCCTTTTCCCCTCACACAGTACATGACGGGCTAAGCCACCTACAAGGGGGGTCAGCACAGCTAGCTGCAGCTAGCTAACCGTTAGCTAGTTGGCTAGCTAGCTAGCTGCAGCTAGCTAGGTAACAGGTAGCTAGCTGTTGATACATATAAGCTATCTACTAGTTAACTGGTAGGGCAGAGAGACAGGATAAGAGGTAGTAAGGGGGGACAGAAAGGAGACAGAAAAGGAGACAGGAAGAGAGAAAAGGAGACAGTAAGGAGACAAAAAGGAGACAAAAAGGAGACAGCTAATAAGCAGCAAAGTTTATAGGCAAAAGGAGGCAAAGAGCAGCAAAGGAGACAGCAGCAAAAGAGGAGAGACAATATGTTTATTATTAAGGAGACAAAAAGTGTCTCCTTTTATATATTAAGGAGGGGACTGTCTCCTTATCCCTTATTCTCTATTTGCTGCACTATGTACAAGCTGCTGCTGCTGCTGCTGCTGCTGCTGCTCTTGCAGCTAAGGAGACACTATTAATATTAATGAGACAGTCTCTGTCTCCTTCCTGAGGAGACAATCATCGTGTGCTGCTGTTGCTCCTGCTGTTGCTCCTGCTGCTGCTGCTGCTGCTGCTGCTGCTATGAGCAGAGATGTGGGGAGAGAGGGCTTATTGAGGAGACAGAGATAGATAAATAGATAAGGAGACACTTATATAAGCAGATAAGGAGACAGATAAAAAAATAAGGAGACAGATAAGGAGAAAAGGAGACAGATAAGGAGAATAAGGAGACAAATAAGGTGATAAATATAAAGGAGAGACAGATACAGAGAAAAAGATAAATATATAAAAAGAGATAAAGAAAAGGAGACAAAAAAAGAGACAGAGAGATAAAGGGACACATATATATATATAAGTACATACATAATATTTATATGTATGTATATTTATATATTTATATATAAATATATAAATATATAAAAGGAGATAGAAAAAGAGACAGACAAAGATATAGAGAGAGAGGCTGAGCAGGAGACAAATAAGGAGACAGAGGAAGAGAAGACAAGGAGACAGATAAGGAGACACATAATACGATAGGCAGACACAAATTGTTGTCCCCTTTTGTTCCCTTCTCTATCTCTTTACTGTCCCCGAATTATCAGGGTTTAGGGTTTAGGGTTTAGGGTTTAGGGTTTAGGGCTTAGGGTGTAGGGTTTAGCTTCTAGTGTTAACGGCTTAGGAAGGAGTTTTTAGTGATTGGTGTTTAGGGTTTAGGGTTTAGTGTTTGTTGTTTGGATTTCAGTGTTTAGGGTTTAGGGTTCAGTGTTTAGGGTTTAGGGTTTAGGGTTTAGGGTTTAGTCTTTAGGGTTTAGTCTTTAGTGTTTAGGGTTTAGTCTTTATTATTTAGGTTTAGTGTTTGTGGTTTTCCGCTTAGGGTTTAGGGTCGAGGTTTCAATGTCTAGGGTTTAGGGTTTAGGGTTTAGGGTTTAGGGGTCTCGGTAGTGCGGTGACCTCAGGGTGTCTCCTTAGCGCAGCAGCAAGAGGAGACAGCAGCGGCAGGAAACAACTTTGCTGCTGCTGCAATATACAATTAGTATTTACTAACTCATATATGCATGCGTTTGAAGCAGCTGCTGCTGCTGTTGCTGCAGCAGCAGCAGCAGCTGCTGCTGCAGCACACAGCACACCGATCGAAGTCGGGCTGCAGCCGCAGAGTCTTTTATTTGTTTATTTATTTTTATATTTGTTTATTTATTTTTTATTTATTTAATTATATTTATTTATTTATTTAATTATTAATTTGTTTGTATTGTATAAGCCTATGTAAAAAGGAAGGGAAACTGTTAAATGTCTGCAAAGAAAGGAGACACCAGAGGCGACGCATGTCCAAAACCCTAAACCCTAAACCCTAACCCTAAACCCTAAACCCCAAACCCTAAACCCTAAACCCTAAACCCTCTCTGCGAGGGAGGTACACCTCACGTGTTTAGCCTCAAGAATATCCAAAGTCGTCAAGCGCCTGTATCCTTTCTAACAGCAGCAGCAGCAACAGCAGCAACAGCAACAGCAACAACAGCAGCAGGAGAAGCTTCTGCAGCAGCAGCAGCAGCTGCTGCTGCTGCTGCTGCTACACCAGATGTCCCTACCCCCAGTAGGGGGGCCCCTCGTCCGCCCTCCTATCGATGTGATGCGTGTGCAGCGTTTCCGTAGCCACACGGTATCCCAGTTCCGCAGCAGCAGCAGCAGCAGCAGCAGCAGCAGTAGCAGCAGCAGCAGCAACAATCGTTACCGTCGTTGTCAATCTTTATTCATAGAAGGAAGTCCTCTCTTTGCTGCTGTTGATACAAAAAAAGAAGAAAATAAACACAGCAGCAAATTGCTGCTGCATGCAAAGGCAGATGTCCGTATACATACACCACAATAAGATTTGCTGCTGCTGCTGCTGCTGCTGCTTCTCTTTCTTCTGTTGCTGCTGCTGCTGCTGCATGCTGCTTTCAACGACCCGAGCAACACAGCAACTCAAAGGGAGAGGGGAAACGAATCAGTTACTCGAGCTTCTAGTGCTGCTGCTGCTGCAGCTGCTGCTGCCGCTGCTGCTGCTGCCGTTGCCGCCGCTGCTGCTGCTGCCGCTGCTGCTGCTGCCGCTGTCGCTGCTGCTCTTCCTGCTGTTGGTCTTGCTGCTGCTGCTGCTCCAGATGACCCTTGTCTAGGGGTTAATGCTGCCGCTGCTATTGCTGCTGCTGCTGCTGCAACAACTACTGCTGCTGCTGCTGCAACTACATGGGCTGTGCTTGGACTCTTTTGTCTTGCTACACCAGGACTCATCACAGCAGCAGCAGCAGCAGCAGCAAGAGGGAGGAGACCCCTCTCTCTCAGCTCAAGTGGAGGCCCTCTCCTCTAAAGCGGCGGCCCTCCATAACCTATCCCTCTCACGTGTAAGCAACTCCAGCTAGCAGCAGCTGCTGCTGCAGCAGTAGCAGTAGCAGCAGCAGCAGTAGCAGCAGCAGCAGCATTATGCTTGTGTTGCTGCAAAAGTGCTGCCCCTGCACCCGAAACACTAAATGTGCGTACCTATCATGCTGCTCTGCTGCTGCTGCTGCTGCTGCCGCTGCTGCTGCTGCTGCCGCTGCTGCTGCTGCTGCTGCTGCTGTTGCTGCTGCTGCAGCTGGGGCCGCTGAGTGGAGTGAGCACAGAGTTGGAGGCGCTGCAGCATTTTATTGAAGACACATTGGCGGAGACAATCAGCAGCAACAAAAGAGACACTATATACAGAGGCAGCAGCAGAGGAGGAGACAGCAGCAAAGGAGACAGCAGCAAAGGGGGCAGCAGCACGAAAACACAGGCAAGAAACAGCACACACCCTAACTAGCTAGCTAGCTAGCTTGCTAGCCAGCTAGCTAGAGGTGGCAGCTAGCCAGCTAGCGCTAGTAGCTATCTGTCTAGCTGGCTAGCTAGAGATAGTGGTTAGCTGGCTAGCTAGCTGGCAAGCTAGGTGCCTTGGTTAGTGCGGTGTCTCCTTTTGTTGCGCAGGGTGTTGCTGCTGCTGCTGCTGCAGCAGCGGATGGGGCCCTCGCGCGGCTATCAGAGGCTGTGGGGAAGAGAAAGGAGACACTTGCTCCCCTTATAATAAGTCTGCAGTCCCTTCGTCACTCGGAGCCTTCTGCTGCTGCTGCTGCTGCTGCTGCAGCTGCAGCAGCAGCAGCAGTAGCAGGAGAAGAGACACTGCTGCTGCGTAAGGAGACAAAAGAGACACCTAGTTATAGATATAGAAAGGAGACACAAACAGCAGAGAGAGACAAAAAAGAGACAGTAAAATTGCCTGCTGCATTTGCTGCTGCTGCTACTACGAGCGTTGCTGTTGCTGCTGCTGCTATTGCTGCTTGCTGCTGCAGAGGGCGATGACGAAGTCCATCTGCGTCCTCCGTTGTCCTGGACAAGACAGACCCTCTTTCCGTAAACCCTAAACCCTAAACCCTAAACCCTTGCTGTCTCCTTTCGTGCGCTTCCTCCTAGTTGTGGAAAGAGGAAGGAATAGACAAAGAGGAACGAAGGAGACATACAGGCAATAACTGCTGCTGCTGCTGCTGCTGCTGCTGCTGTGAGCAGACACCTTCTCCGTGCTTCGCCATGGCAGCGCGTTGCTTATAATTCTATGCGTCATCCCCCTCCATTAACAAGGTGTTTTTCTACTGCAGCAGCAACAGCAGCAGCAGCAGCAGCAGTTGCTGCTGCTACTGCTGCTGCTCAAGAGAATAAAGATGCCCCTGTTATGCAGCGGCTGCAGTGCACAGATCCCTTTGAGGAAGACGTGCGTAAGCTAGGGTTTGATCCCCCCCCTAAGCCCACCACCACCAGCAGCAGCAGCAGCAACAGCAACAGCAACAGTAGCAGGAGTAACAGCAGCAGCAGCAGCAGCAATAAGAATAAATGTCTTATGCACTCCGGGTGTAACTGCAGCACCCCAAGAGGAGATATCTGCTGCTGCTGCTGCAGCACTGCTGCTGGCGTCAGCAGCATCTTCCCTACTGAACCCTCCTGCAGCGGGGTGTCTCTATCGGGGGCTGTAGAGTGCAGCAGCACGGATTCTGCTGCTGCTGCTGCTGCTGCTGCTGCAACTGCTGCTACTACGAGCGGCAGCAACACAGAGGAGCAGCAGCTCCCCTCCCCACACACTAGCGAGGCTTCCTCCATTGATGCTGCTCTCTGCAGCAGCAGCAGCAGCAGCAGCAGACCCCACAGAGACACTCAGACAATAGATAGGGCATCAACAAAGGCACTGATGCGTCTTGCTGCTATATCTAAGAGAGCAGCACAGGCAGCAAGAGCAGCAGCAGCAGCAGCAAATAGGAGATCTATAGGTGCAACAGGAAGATTCCCTCGTCCCTCTACAGCATCTGCTGCTAATAGATCTGCATGCAACATATATAATATAGATTTGTCTCCAAGAGAGGCTGCTGCTGCTGCTGCTGCAGCAGCAGCAACAGTAGCAGCAAGAGCAGGAGACTCCCCAAGGAATCATTGCTGCAGGCCGCACTCTGCAGTCCCTCTCGGTTGTCCATGCAGATTGAATACAGCAACAGCAGCAGCAGGGGGACCAGGAGGAGCAGCAACAATAGCAGAAGTTGCAGAAGCAGCATCAAAAGCATGCGGTCCCCCTGAGGTTCCTGCATCTATGCAGCAGCAGCAGCAGCAGCATTTGGTGCGGCAGCAAATGCTGCAGCAACTGCAGCAAAACTTAGATCATGATGAACCCCCTGTAGATGCCATCATTAGTTTATGTAACAAAGATCGTCTTGAGCGCCAACTCATTCCTTGCTTCAGGTCTCCTGCTGCTGCTGCTGCTGCTGCTGCTGTTGCTGCTGCTGCTGCTGCTGTTGTTGTGCGGTGGTTTGGTGCTGCTGGTGTCATTCGCTGTGCTGCTAGATAAGCAGCACTTCTGCTACATCTGCAGCTGCTGCTGTAGCTGTTGTTGTTGCTGCTGCTGTTATATTTTCTGTTCCTGCTGCTGTTGCTTCTGCCTTTGCTGCTGCTGCTGCTGCTGCAGAGAGATCCGTGCAGCAATGCGTTTGTTGCTGCACGGGGAAGGGGCAGAGAGAGCGATGCTAGGGGAGGCACTTGTGCTGTCTCTTACCTCTGCTGTCTCTATTATAGATAATGAGCTTGCTGCTTACCACAGGTACACCTCCTGCTGCTGCTGCTGCTGCTGTTGCTGTTGCTGTTGCTGCTGCTGTTGCTGCTGCTTCTGATTCGTTGGGTTTTGCTGCTGTTTTCTGCTGCTGCTGCTGGGCTTCCAACTGCTTCTGTTTCCTTCCATGATGAGAATACTGCTGCTGCTGTTGTTGCTGCTGGTGTTGCTGCTGTTGCTGCTGCTGTTGCTGCTGTTGCTGCTGTTGCAGATATGTGAGGGATTTAGAGACAGCCTTAGCTCGATGGAAGGATAGAGAGATAGAGCTGCAGCAGCTGCTGCAGCACCAGCAGCAACTGCAGCAAATAGTAGCTAGTCATCAACGATTAAGAGACGAAGACAAAAAACATTACGAAGAAATCATCAAAAATCTTCATGATAGAATTGATGAGCTGCAGCAAGAAATTGCTAGACTTGAGCCTGAAGACGAGGTAAACCCTAAACCCTAAACCCTAAACCCTAAACCCTAAACCCTAAACCCTAAATGGTAAATTCTCAACACCAATAGATAAGGTAGTTCACCATCTTCATGATAGAATTGATGAATTGCAGCAAGAAATTGCTAGACTTGAGCCTGAAGACGAGGTAAACCCTAAACCCTAAACCCTAAACCCTAAACCCTAAACCCTAAACCCTAAATGGTAAATGGTAAATGATAGATGGTAAATAGTAGATAAGAAGATAGTTAATAATCTCGCGGATAAAATTGATGAATTGCAACAAGAAATTGCTAAGCTGGAGCTACAGGATGAGGTAAACCCTAAACCCTAAACCCTAAACCCTACAACGTTATGGGTGTCTACATTTTGTCTGTATATTGTCTTGCCTCCTGCTGCAGCTAGTTGCGGAGACACGGGATCGTCACGGGGAGTTGCTGCAGCTGCTGCAGGGTAGAGCAGCAGAGCATGCAGTGCAAGGAGAATTGCTGCAGCAAGGGAGGCTGCTGCTGCAGCAAATAACCACAGGGGTGCTGCCAATGGAGTCTCTTAGAGACAAAGAGAGAGGAAGAGTATACGAGACCAAGGAGGGCGAACTCTGCTTCAGGTACCAGCAGCAGCAGCAGCAGCAGCAGCAGGAGCAGCGTGCAACACCTGCAGCAGCAGCAGCAGCAGCAGAAGCATTGACAGTAGATGACAGCAGCAGCAGCAACAAATGTGGCACGATGAACAGCAGCAGTAGCCATAGCAGTAGCACCATCACCAGCAGCAACAGCAGCAGCAGCAGCAGCAGCAGCAGCTGTCTCCTTTTGTGCTGCAGGCCTTATGATGTAAAGGAGAGAGGGGTATTAGCAACTGCTGCCTCTATTAGTGGTGTCCCTGAGGAGACAGAGGAGGAAGAAGAGGAGGAAGAAAAGGAGACAAATAAAGGAATAAATAAACAAATATATAAACAAATAAAAAAGGAGACAATAAAAGAAATAAAAAAGGAGACAAAAGGAGACACTTCTGCTGCACCTGTGCTGCTGCTGCTGCACCCAAGACTACGACTCGCTCTAGCTAGAGAAACTACTATTTCGCATGTCAGCTGCTGCTGCTGCTGCTTCTGCTGCTGCCTTTGCTGCTGCTGCTACTGTTACTGCTGTTGCTGCTGCTGCCAGAGGGAATGTGTACGTGGTGGGGTTGTGGGGTTGCTGCAGGGTCCCCCTCCTGGTCTGTCCCTGGAGGAGATAGTTGCTGTAGCTGCAGCAGCATATAAGGCGAAGGCAGCATCGGATGCAGCAGCAGCAGCAGCAGCAGCAGCACCAGGGCAGCAGCAGAAGCAAATAAGATTGTCTCTTGTGGAGACACTAGAGGATATTCTTACCCTCAGCAGACCAACACAAAAAGAAGTACAGCATACACTAGCTAGTATTACATATACTCTGCTGCTGCTGCAGAGGGACCAGGAGCAGCAGCAGCAGCAACTGCAGCAACAACTGCAACAGCAGCCACAGCAGCAGCAGCATCAACAGCAGCAGCAGCAGCAGCAGAACGATTCTCCCGAGTTTTTTACTTTGAGGAGGGCAGTGCGCTTCGGCAGGTAAGGACAGAGAAGCAGCAGCAGCAACAACAACAACAACAACAGCAGCAGCAACAGCAACAGCAGCAGCAGCTGTCTTGGCAGCGCAGCATGTGTCTTTGTTAGAGCAGCAGCTGCTGCCACATCATATTTATCTGTTGCTGCTGCTGCTGTTGCAGCAGCAGCAGAAGGTAGAGTCCAAGAGACCAACATGTATCATTGTGTGTCACTGTTGCTGCTGCTGCTGTTGCTGTTGTTGCTGCTGTTGCTGCTGTTGCTGCTGCTGCTGCTGTTGCTGCTGCAGGTTTTTAGGTGTATGCCCTGTGTATCGGTATTTGCCTCCTCCTTGTCTAAATGTTTTTC